ACACTTTGACTATGGGAAATGTTACTGGTTAGGTGTTATCAAACTACTAGTACTTGAATCATCTTTAAAACTTTTAAGCGGAGATTTTCTCTACCATTTCGTCGATGTGTTTCTAGTTCCACCAGTGCCATCTACTATTTTATTCTCTATCCTAGTAACATATCAGACCGCAGCCAAATATTGGTGTTATCGTGACAACAAGCACCAGTCAACAAAACATTTTGTTGTTCCTCTGACCCTAGGATTACTTCACTGAGTGTGTATAGTCGGAGTTCAACATTTCCGTTGGTCATCTTATCTATTATTCTCAATCTTTTATCTGAACTATTGTAGAATTATTCGGTAAGATGTCAGGAGCAAATGCCTTGACCTTTCCCAAATTACTTACGAGTCTAAATTTGGATCAAAGTCACCTGATTCCAGCAAACTGCCTATAATAATATTCGATTAGATCAGGCATTTCTCAGCAGTGCTAGGGTCAAGTCTAGTCTAAATTTAGGGTTTTGATGGTGCACTTTGTAATTCAGAATAAGAGTCTGCCAGAGACTCATCAAATAGGCGGATGCTATTTGTAGCTTTTTCTTTTTCTTTGTTTCTGCACTATCGTCCACCTCCCGTCATCTAGGACAACCACTTCGGGACTACTGGCGACGCTGACGGTTTTACCTGGTTCTTCAAGTATTACTTTTGAATTATGACTATTAATATCTAGCGATATTTAAATCCCTGTTTGTTCCAATGGGGGTTTTCTTTTCCATGTTTCGCATCCATGTATTTGGCTCGTCCCATGTCAACACGTGCTACGCTGACAAATTAGCACTCTTTATACCACTGCCGTGACCCTCAAATTTCTCTCTGGCTAACTCCAGAATGATAATTACCTTCTGGATCAATAGTGTTTTACCTGAACGCCAAACATTCAAATCCAATGTGAGTTACGCTTCTAGTAAACTTTGCATGTGATGGGATTTAAATGTGTACACATGTTGTGAAACCATCACATCACGTTGCATTCCTTCCGCCATAGGGAAGCAACAAATTTGTCGCCTGCATCTACAAGTATAGCCAACCATTATAAATAGATGAGAGGAAAATGTAGAATAAAATACACAAGTCAGTCGTTAGTATGAGAATCAACTGACAACGGATAGCACAAAACGGATTTGACGAAAATTTCAAACCCTAACCGAAACTATTCAGGTTAGAGTAGACTAAGTAAGCTTTTGATGCAAAAATACATAGAAGCAAAGGTAATTCAGAATTAGTACGCAATCACTGATTTATTGTAAAAAAACTCGCACGAGAATGTTCTTTGCTCGAATCCAGATCCTAAGGAAATCAGAAGATTTACCTCTTAAATAAGTAACCTTGCAAGTACCAAACACTGATGCTCATCATGGTGTTACAAACGACTTAATCTCAATCTGAACTGACTTTTTATCACACATAATCTTTCGAGTTCCTACCAATCATATACCCAAAAACTGCAATATCCGCGCCAAATATTAGAGCGTAAACATTTTTGAAGTAGTTCCTTAACTAACGTTTAACTGTTACTAAATGAATTTCCAACAACTCTTAACGCCTACAATGCTTGGAATGTCGTAAAGATGTCTCGGAAATTCAGGTCTTCATATGCATCTTATCCGTTGCAACTATATAATTTACGATCTCAAACCCGGTCATAGTAGAAGTCAGGAATGAAAGGGTTAGAAGGCATATCATTGTCATTTTTATGATTAATGGCTTATTCAATATTATATTTTTACTATAATATAGAATTATTAGCACAAAGTATTCCAAAAAGCTCCCTTTTCTTGTTTCTTGATTGATCCTGACAATAAATAATGAGTGATCGTCAGTTATATGTTATCAGTCCAGGAATCCACATCTGAATAATGTTCGTTCTTTCAATTCAGATTGCCAGACACCACAATGTTTCTGATTGTACTTCTTTGTAACTCGTACAGCAAAAAGTCGTATGCCTTTCATAACCGCTCCTGAATAGATTATGCGATTATTAGCCATAATGATGTGTTAAAACGAACAATAACATAACCTTTTGAAATATCGGGGTGGCAGAAACAAATATCTCAGATATTCAAGCAAGCTGCCAATGACTTTTGGAAGCTAGTCGGTATTTTGAAAGGTGTGTCGTCTAAGTTGAATAGCATTTGCGAGGGATCTGGTCCAGATCCTTGACCAATAGCTCACTGTTATGTGGTGTCCAGTAAAAAAATGTGGTCTGCAACAATGTAGAAGACTAACAGAATTATATATTTTTGGAGCTTGTCCACCACCACGATCGGTGGAAAACGGGAATTACTTATGATTATAGATCATAGAGAGTTAAATGCCGCAAGAATTAGTCACAACAATAAATTTAATCATATAAAACAATGAGAGCTCTGATGTAGATGATAGAAAATTCCAGATACTGTATGCATAATTTTCAAACCTGCATTGAATATGAATAAATCTAGAACTAAATATGCTTAACATACGTGTGGCAAGTCAAGTCGTCAGTTGATGCACGAGAAGAACAATAGGTAGAAAACATCATTAAACATTATTCTTACCTGGGTGACCAGATTTTGACAGGTGCAGAGAGCGTAGCCGTTTTACAGAAGAATGTCGTCGGATGCTTAGCAACGACATTGAGTAAAATATTGCGAACAGTTATGCGACGAATTTCTACTTGTGGCCTACGGTTGGATTAAGCCATGTATATGCAGGTTGCTCATTCGTAGTATGCCGCCTTATGGGTTATTTAAGCATCCGTAATTCTAACCATAGCTCACCCCTAATGGGCAGATTTACACAGGTCAAACTGAAAGTAGTTACTAAATGTTATAAGGCATCACAAACAGTAGAAAAATCATTTCATGTATAATGAAGCTCTCCAGAGCTACTTTCATATGTATGTGCTTGTTAATGACGATGATGGCTTGATTATAATCATAGCTGACTGCCTATGTAAGTCGGTTGAAGTATTTGTCTAAGTTTATATGTTAATCAACATTGAGATCAGAAAGTTAGGCCGCCACGGATATGCAGTTCTTAACTACACTATTGTCCCGAAAGTTTATTTATTCCAGAAACCCAAAACGGTTAAATGGGTCGTTTACTCAAGTTGGAGGGGAATGTCGTTATCACTTACCTTACGATGGATTCACACATCATGACCGTCACATAACTTGGACTATCCCGTCATGACAACCAGATGAACCGGCCGCCTTAGTGACTGATTGGAATAAAAAATCTTATTAGGGCAATAACACGTATTGGTAAAGACAGATTAAAAAAACATGGAGCGGATTTACTGAGACACGGGCCATTTATAAGCATGTCGATAAATTCATATATCTTAAGTCTGTCATTAATCGTTGTTTTCAGTTGATGAGGCTTCCGTTAAATTTATCATTCAAATTTCTCTGTGTGGAGGATTTGCATATATCTGTTAGTGACCTTCCTGGTGCGACTACTTCCAGCGAATTCGGTGTCTAAACAAACGTACATGTTGGTTCAGTGAAACGCTACTGAGCCCTAGCAAAATCAATCGTCAAGCCGAAGCGATCCTACCTTGCACAACAGATCAATGACCACCGTGCAATCGTAAAGATTAGAGATGACCGAGGTTAATTAGTCCATTGAACGTCATGGACTGGCCCTCGTCAGCCGTGCTTCCACTCCATATTTCTTTGACCTGTCTTAACTAACGCATTACTTTAGAACTGTCACGTTTGTTCTATACATTCGTTAAAGAAGCCACAGCACGTTATTACCACAAAGATCAGTCCATCTTTTCATGTTTCACGTTTTTGCCACTGCCAAATCCATAGTTCAAGTTTTTCACTACGCGTACATGTGATGATATAGGATCAGTGAAACATCTTAAGCCTCAGACGAAATGTACACTGACCAGAATCGTCTCTACCTTAGACGGCTAAGAGTTGAACATTTTATCGAACCTCGTCATGATCAAGAATAATAAACACGGACTATTGTGTAGAAAGCCATATGTTGGCCCAAGCTGCAGTGGTTCTACCCTTTATTTCTGAGGTGTTCCTTAATATATAAATTTCGCATTATTCTTCCTGTCATAGTTAATCATCAAAGTAATTGCCTTACCTGCTTATCACGAAAGGACAAGCCAGATTGCGCATCGATGGTTAGGTTGGATTCTGACGTGGGCTGCGATCCCGCACCATTCCCGTCCTTTATTATCATTAAGGTAATCAAACGATGCAAATGTCCCATCATATTGACATATATTACCGAACAAAGATGAACTAAGTTAAAAATGACAACTCATAACAAAGTGAAAGTAGACCTGAGTGGACAGCAGACATCATAAAACTGGAAAAGTACAAAACCCCGCACGTAGTAGTAAATAACTCCCTAAAATACATGGTCCTGTATACATTAAGCGGCGAGATAAACAAAAATTATTCTAAAGGACACCACCAAGCATCATCAGATCACGGTACATCCATGACGTTATAAGCTTCTCCTCTGCCTGATGACCAGCTTATAAATTATATGTTTCTCGGCGACGTGCAAAAGTCGAACGTACGTTAACTCAGAAATGTTAGTATCTTATTTCACATCCTCAGGTGGAATCGCTGAAAGTTACTCTTAACCAGTATTGTCCAATTCTGACGTTACCAGTATATCTTATGTAAAATCAAGCCTTTGCAAATGAAGATATCCAGCAGAGTGAGACACTGTTTGCCACTATATAAATATATTTTAGTTTAAAGCATTAAAATTTTTATCTGCCCTTGTATGCTTCTAATTAACTACAACCGAATTTTCCGCTATTCATATGTAAGTTATGTTGTATACCTTGAAATAGGAGTTGTGAAGGTATTTCGTGAGATAATTGTGCTGCACAATGATTGATTATTGTAAATATTTGTGACTGAGAATCGTATGTCAAGTAGTGTTACTTTAAATGGATTAAATATATATAGCTATGGAAATATTGAGAGTGGGAAATGAAAAGTCGCTACTTTACACCAAACGAGGTTTTAGCACATAATTCACCCGAAGACTGTTGGGTCTCGTTTCTTGGACATGTTTGGGATCTCACACCAATATGCGCACAGAACAAGGGTGAATATTGTTGATTGTTTCGATTCTACTTAAATCGCGTATATATTCATCAATATAATCCGAATTACATTCGTCTTTTCTGGGAACAGTTATATCACATATATTTCCGGTTTGATAGTTATTTTAGCCTTCTTAATGGTAATAGATACTCAGAACATTCAATACAATCTTATGTTCTGCAATATCTGACCCAAAGAATTTAGGCTTTTCCTCAATATGACTGAAATGTACCTGACACTTGTTCGTGATATATTCTTTGTCGTATTGGTATTTCTCATGAAAAACAGATGAATTTCCTTTTGAATTGTTTGCAACTGATGGTAATAAGTGACGTTATAAATTTGACGATCAATAATAGAATTGAATGAAGCTTCACCTAATTACTTCAGAATGGTTGGTGGGTTCATTATTTATCACAACAGTCTGAGGAATAAATGTGAATCTAACTGATTTAAAAAGTTACTGCTGCGCTATGGGGTATCCAATAGTTATAACTAAGTGTGGAATACAGTCCAGTTATGTCTAGAAAAGTAGACAGTCCGGTGTACATTTGTGCGAAAATTAGACACTGATGTAAATTCAGTCATTTCAAACATATGGCGGCAGAAAGAGGATATGTCCGACTATTTACCCTCGGCGGGCAAGGGATCGGACTTTTTGACGCGTTACTGCTTATTTTCCTTGGGAATATTTGTTTATTTCCCTTACATTCGTCTTTATTTCCTCTTTTTGGTTTGCTTTGATAAAAATGAATACACAAACAGTCCTAGATTAATTTTAAGTGAGGCTGAATTTAATCAAGCTGAAAGCTGTTTTCCGTCCTAAGAATACAGTATTATAGCAATTTTCGATCTTCACTCAAGAATGACTGACAAAGATTAGGCGAAACCCAGTTGCAGTGAAACGAATACTGAAAAAAATTAAGAAAAAACGATTATACTGAATTACATGTGCATTTAAAGACAATCAACAGACTGAATCTCAATATTTTTGTGATTGTAACGTGTTTTTAAGTGACTACCTGGATGCTGTTTTAATGCGTCTCATGAAATCACACGAATTAAAAGGTTGGGTAGAGTGAAAGTACTGTCAAATGTTATTGAATCTATTCATGCTGACTAGTCTCGATCGATATGAAACTCAATTTATTGTATTCATTTTAGGTAGCGTACTTCTCCAACCAATCTTAAACGAAGCTGGTAGAGACATATCGCACTGGTTCGATGCAAAAACTGGTGATGTTCGACATCACATTGATCCAGTTACGAACTGTTACGTACCTTACACCCCCTTTGGTCGATTTGTCCACATACCACCACCTTATCCAACGACAGATTGGGCTACAGATTTCGGTATACCTTGGTGGAAAGATGAGAGACTGATTGTTGGATATTTAACTAAGAAGACAAGGTTTGTACGTATTTTCAACACACTTGCGCTACTCCAACACGAAATTGAGGTTTGTTTTCTTTTTTGTAAGCTATTACAATTATGCCTTTAGTTAAAAAAATATTACTATCTCTGCCATTTGATCAAATGTGAAATACCTCTAGCGCCGAATTCAGTGACTTATTCAACACAATAATACAAGAAGATAGTTAGTTCATTAAACTCCTCTGGATATTTGTTTTTGTGTCAAAATAAAGGTATAGAATCGTCAAAAATTAAAAGTAGGATAACTACTTTTGTTCACGGAATACACAAGCGTCAATCACTGCTTGATAAATTCCGGTTTTTTAAGGAGAAAATAGGTTCAAAATATCGTTTGATTCACATTCTCAAAAATATTTCCGATATAAAATCGATGTCCACTGGAGAGACAAACAAAAGTGGAAACCGAGTTTATTCAAAATCGATAATTATTGTCTCGAACCCTATAGAATCGTCCAATAGGCTGTTGGTGTGATAAACACCAAGATTTTCATCTGGTACGATATCTCAATAAACATAGGGGTTTTTATTGTTTCAACGCTAGTATTTAGGATTGGTTTTATGACCGATGGTTCTAGTTCCGCCGCTAATTGCTATTCAAAATATAATTAGACGTCCATTCAGTTTAGTCATACGTTGTGAAATTTTGTCCAGTGAGGCGAAACCGCAAACGTAGGAACTATTTAGTTTTAAAAAGATAATACCTATTGAGAAGGGGTCATACGTGAGGCAGTGTAAATAATTTGACGTACCGCTATAACATCTATTTATACAACATTTCATTTTTTTATCATTTCAGTACAACATTTCGTCCTATCTGTTCAATAAAACATATCATTTGTATCGATTCAGTGTAAAATTTGTTGTTTCAACTCACTACGACTTTCGTCAATTGATAACTATTGCAGGTAAACCTGCATGTAAGAGAGTGTATTTTGTTCTCATGAAGGAGGAATACTTTTGGTATTGGATGATGAGAAAAATCTTCATCTGCCAATAGTGTTGGTCTCCGTTGCATTAAACCACAGCGACTCTCAGTTTTATACATACCACTGTTCCTGCTTCTAAGTCACAATGCAAAGAATAACAATATCTATTAAATAATTTGGCTTGCGAATCCAAAGCTTAGTTCATAATGTTTTAGCATTTGAGGTAACAGGTACGAGATTCAATTCTTACTGCGAAAATTAACACTGAGACTTAGGTAAACCAGTCTGACTACTTCCAAATAGGATTAAACATAGATCCTGAATCCAATTGTTAGCCTCCGTTTAAAACATATCTAATTTACTCTGTAAATTATCTCTTTGGTGATAAAATTAAAATTTGTTTACAATGAAAATATAACGACCTGTTGATTGAGTCATGTTACCTGTAAAATATTCGTCGACTTTACTTACAGTGTAAAATGTTAAACTATTTTTGTTTTTCCAACTAAACAATAAAATTTTGCTAATCAAGCTGTTTACTTCAAAGAACATCTTATTTTTGCTACTCCATAGACCTTCTGTTATGCCGATGCTTTAAAAATGGGAAATTGGGAAATGTATTTTTCTAAAAATTTGTACATTTTCTTATTTTAAATATATTATTTCTTTTTATTCTGTCGATTAGGTATGCGTTGAGGAGACTATTACAGATATTCTTGTTCGTTATTTAAAATTTAATTCACACGCTGCCTCGTATACATGGAAGTATAATGGTGTTGTACTAGATATGGAGAAAAATCTTGAGGAGAATAATATTAAGGAAGAAATACAAGATATTGAAGATTTATTTATGCCTCAAATATATCTTTATTACAATGACGATTTGACTGAGGCATAATTAAACAATAAGTCAAAAGAATAATTTATGATTTCATGGTTATTTGTACGCAACAAATATAAGTACCATTATTTACATGAAAGTAAATTTCTTTAGGGACTTTCATTTGATATGAAAAAAATCTATTAATTTAAAAATTTCGTTTTCTTATGTGTTTTATTGGCTGTTATACATATTTAAAATAGTTTCTGTGATCAGGTTTCAATGATAAACCAATATCTATGAAATAGATAAAACTGAAAATTAAACAATAACTCACCGATTGATTATAACTGACTGAGTAGTGTGCTATATTTTTGTTATCATAATGTTATTGATCACCACACTAATATATCAGTAATTTAAAAAGATGATTATCTAACGAATTTAAGATAATGCTACTTGAAAAATAAATTATTAGGGGGAATTTTATGGGAATAGTAAATTTTCACAGTCTAAACCAAGAACGCATCTTAGCTAGATCACCAATTAAAACCTACAAGCACTAGACAGCCGTTTCGTCCTAGTACGAGACTTTTCAGCAATACACACCCACGAACCCGCATCCGATAATTAAACTGAAGACCTTCGGTATCTTTCACTAATGCTTAAGCTGTAGACTACGAAGATGGCATCCACGTTCATTTTTTCAGTATAAAAAATCATTATATTTAAAGCTTTTATTTCCTTAATATAAAATGTTCCTCCGGTCTGAACTATTGAAGACTTTTAGCTGCTATCATACTGATGTTAATCATTAATTATGATATAGTACAGGAAGAAAGAATTAGTTCGTAGAAAGAAAGGTATGAAGTGATTTTAATCTCGTAGTTTAAGGGAAGATAGAGAGTGTATATACCTACGCCATTGTGATCGATTCTGAGCCATGTCACATAGAGTCTCTAACCGTTGGTTATGATAGTCACACGAACACTAACAGTACAGGAAAAAAGAATTAGTTCATAGAAAGAAAGATTTAAAGGTAACAACTCGAGAAATAATATCAGTTGATCATATTCCATATTCAAATTCTACCTCTTTTTAACAAGAAAAAAAAGGGTAGAAGTTTTATTACTTTCTTTATTGTTATTTTTGTGTTCATATATGACAGATATATCAATATTGGAATTAGTTACCTGTTATTTTCAAAAATTTATTTTTATATTCATTGAAGGATAAAATACACTTTTACATAATTACTAATTTGTTTTCATAATGTTAAAAAAGATAAATATTCTAGACAATTTAATGCTATAAATCTTAGTATAGATTTAAGATAAAGATTATATTGTAATATATGCTTGAATGTATTCAATAATATGTTATTGAAGTTAATAAGATATGTCATTTATCAAACTGAACAATGAATTGGTTAGATTTAATCCATCAGTGTAATATGTGATTTAAGTTAAAGGTAACAATTACAGTAATAATATTAGTTGTGTTGTATATCGATGAGAATAATGAATGGTAATTTTTGGGATTCATTTATGGACCAATATTATGAGTATATTTTTATCGTATAATTGTTATGGAACTAAACTGTTCATATTCATGTCGCTCTTATTATAAGCTTTAATTTGACCTATGAACTATTATTATACGGTTTACCATTCATGAACTATTCCCTGTCTGTTAATCGCTACCTCCCTCATTCACAGCCACATCTGGCTAATTCCTGAACAAATGATGTTTATATTTTATTGGTACGTTATGGCCGGTTTGTTTGGTATACAAACTCAGTATGCTTGAAATATAATGATTCATATCTCAGAGACTGAGACTTGCGTTCTGGACTCAACTGGCTGGGCTAGATAGCGAACCGAGACCAATCAGAACTCTAGGCCGTTCTTACGTGTTTTACGCGTCTGGTCCGATCGATAATACGCTGCGCTCTAATCTGCAGTCACAAGTTACAACAAGTCCATCATATTTCAAGGCATTCTTTTTATTATTAAACTTATTAAGAAAATCAAGTTCAAATTCTTAAATTGAACTAATAGTTTAGTCAGTGAGATTATAATTTATGGACGATCTTTGAGCGACGTTAAGATGATCTTAAGAGTGTCTATCTACTTATTAAGGCTAAATGAGGGTTATAAATCAGTTTGAAGAATAAGGATTATGATTTACAGTTGATGGTTAGGGTTAGAAATTAGATTTAGGGTTTTCATCACAAAGTGACATTAGCTATAATGACAAGACTTAATTCAACCAATTGGATGAATGAATTTCGTGTTAAAATCTAAGACCTGTAATCTTATACATGATTGGTTTGTTCATAAATTATAACCTTGGTATTTAGGCAATTTAACTGCAATTGCTTGAAGTATTCGAAGTTGATCTATTAACACTTGTTGTTCTCTTTTATTTCAAGTTATTTCCAGTTATTCCAACTTTTTTACAGTTGTGAAACCTGATATAAAATAACCATTTGATGTTGATAGAAAACAGGATGTAACATTAGTGCAAATGATACATAATTTCAGTTTACAAACAGGGAAAAGTACAGTTTTCTAATCTGGTCACAGATGTATCAATGAAATCTTTATCTGTCATCAGTTTTGAAAATTGGCATTCTGACTGGTGTTTGACTATTACTGACCCACAGGTCACACATAATACTTCAGTGACTGCGATAACTGATATTAGTCAGGACTATTTATTATACATCATTGTGATTAGCTAGACCATAATTACGTCCCTAACGAATTTAACATTTATATTTAACTCTTTTAAGACGTATCTCTCGCGTGTAGATCTCTTCATCAACCTAAATCTCGTCAGTGATAAAATGTATAATCTTGAACAAACTTATATAATAGTGATAGAACTTTGAGAATGAATGTGTTGAGCATAAAATATTTCCTTAGGACTGGTCTATATGATATCACAGTTTGATCAGTATTCTCAACAAAAGTGATTAACTTAGGCATACTATTTTTTTCGAATAGGTGGTATAAATGCTTCAAGTTAAAAGTGGCTGATGATAAAATATGGATTAATACTATTCTACTACAGTATCTTTACTTCAACGTATCAGGAGATTCTAGGCCCCAAGAAGCATCATTATAAGGAATGGATAACTATCGAAACCCTGGCCAAGATTCAAGAAAGAAAGAAAAAGAAGACAGCAATTAAAAACAGCCGAACACGAGCAGAGAAAGACAAGACACGAGCTGAATACATAGAAGCAAACAAGCAAGTAAACAAGGGCATTAGAGCTGAAAAGGAGAAATACGTAGAAAACATGCCAGCGACAGCAGTAAACGCAGTAAGAGAAGGAAATACGAGAAAACTATTCGATATAACGAAGAAACTGACAAGGAAATATAGTAAACCAGAGAGACCGGTCAAGGACATGCCAATCAATGAGATTCAATAACAGAGAAACGGATGGGGAAAACGACTTGGGGAACTCTTGAATGGGCCAACTCCACTAATCCCATCGGACATCAAAGCAGCACACACAAACATTCACTCCACCAACAATCGAATACGTCAGAATGGCCATCTGATAAATCAAGAGTGGGAAAGCAGTAGGACCTGAAAATATACCAGCTGAAGCAGTGAATTCAGATATAGAAGTAACTGCAAACATGCTCTACGTTCTATTCAGAAGGATTTGGGAGGAAAAACAAGTGCCGACAGACAGGAAAGAAGAGAGTCTCATCAAGATATCAAAAAAGAGATCTGGACAAGTGTGAGAACTCAGCCACCGAGTCATCTCAACAGAGTGTTATTGAACCGGATGAAGGATTAAGTAGACGTCCAACTTCGACATCAACAAGCCGGATTCCATACGGATCGGTCGCGCACAGACTAAATCGTAACACTACAGATTATTGTTAGGAAATTGACTGAATGGAATTCGTCACTATTCAGCGATTTTTTTGACCACGAGAAGGCGTTTTATAGTGTGAATAGGAGAACCTTCGAGGACACTATGGTGTACCCAAGAAGATCGTCAATATCATACGGAACTCATATGATGGACTACAGTGCAAAGTCGTGAATGGAGGACAGCTAACAGACACATCCCAAGTGAAGACCGGAGTCAGACAAGGCTGCGTTCTCTCTCCATTCCTCTTTTTTCTGATAGATGACTAGATCTGAAGACCACCATATATCAAGGGAAGCACGGAATAAAAGGAACGGCTTGCATGCAACTAGACAATTTGGACTTCGTAGATGACCTAGCTCTTCTATCCCATAAACATCAACAAATGAAGGTCAAGATAAACAGTGTAGCAGTAGCCTCAGCATCAGTAGACCTCAACATACACAGATGAAAATGCAAGATCCTCAAGTATAACACCGAGGATACCAACACAATCACACTTGATGGAGAAACTCTGGAAGAGATGGAAAGTTTCATGTGACTGGGCATTATAACCGACAAACAAGAAGGAACTGATACAAATGTAAAGTCGAGAATTGTCAAAGTAAGGGTAGCATTCCTACAGTTGAAGAACATGTGAAACCCAAAACAACTGTCAACTAATATCTAAGTCAGAATCTTCAATAAAAACGTTAAAACAGTTCTACTGCATGGAGCTGAAACTTGGAGAACTATTACAGTCATCATCAAAAATGTTCAAGTATTCAGAAACAATTGTTTACTTAAGATACGCAATATCTGTTGGCCGGATACCATCAGCAACAACGTATTGTGGAAGAGAACAAACTAGTTTCCAGCTGAAGTGGAAATTAGGAAAAGATGCTGGAGGTGGATAGAACATACATTACGGAAATCACCAAACTGTATCACGAGGCAAGCGCATACCTGGAATTTTGAAGGTAAACGGAAAAGTGGGACACCAAAGAGAACACCGCGTCGAAAATTGGAAGAAGACATGGAAAGGACGAATAGCAAGTGGGAAGAACTGGAAAAGATTGCTCAGAACACAGTTGGATGGAGAATATTGGTGATCGGCATATGCTCTTCCACGAAGGCTAACAGGTGTAGGTAAGTAAGTAACTAAAATTGTTTAGTAGTTTTATTTACATATAAGAAATAAGTAAAAAGCGAACAGTATAAGAAACTTTTTCATTGTTGGTTTTCCACTCATTTAGTATTGGGAATTTTCACCGCCTATATTTGTTGGGATAGTAATCTTATATATGCGTTGTTTTCTATTAAATTTTAATCTCCATTCACGATTACCAATATAATTTGGTTTTGAATCATTTGGAGTTAGGAAGTGATCTAAAGATTCATCGTTCAATGTAAGCGAAACTAATATTATTCAATCATATAAGCAACAAAAGATTTCATTCATTTAAAAATTTACATCAAATGACAAGAATAAATTACTTTATAGTCAATTAAACAAACAAAACAGTGATCAAGTTGATTAGATTAAACTTTCCAAATTTCATTCTGATCAAATAATTACATTTAGCAAAATGTATTTCATTGATTATATTACATCATTAAAGTCTATTTTTATTTTACATTACTTCTCAATAGACTTACGACAAATGTATTCATCTATTAGTTGGTGTCTTGAATTAATACAATAAATGACAGAAATTTTACTTCATGTTGTCATTGTTGAAATACAAAGAAAAAAGATGAGTTTTTCATTATGTCAAGTGAACAAATCTTATTTTTTCAGTCATAAAAAAGTTTTCGAATCCCTCTGGGCAGGATCGTGAATGTGTACTACTGAAGAGTCCCACAATAAGACGAAACAGTCGTCTAGTGCTTCCAGGTTTTCTATGATGGTCTAGCATCAATCGACTCATAATCTCAAGTATTTAAAGTATTATAGTAAATGAAGTGAAATAATATGGATTTTCGAACTAAATAGTTGAATAGATAACTTGAATAGTTATACTTAATTGTTAATGAATTTTAACTTCTATTGACTTATGATCGGAAATGTTTTATTGACGTATTATATTGTTTCTTTAAAATAAACCTGAAAAGATAGAAAGTATCAACCAAGTTCAAGCTGAAGATTATGTTTAAATAGAGAAACTTAAATAAGTTTTACCAAAATACTGAGTAGTATTGACCAATTTATCTGAATATCTATTAAGAAAAATATGTAAATATATATATATATATATATATATATATATATATATATATATATATATATATATATATATATACGGGTTATTCAATAGTTGAATTTGAGTCAATTAGAGCTAGACTATCATGAAAAATCTCGATTAACCTGGGTTAATTTTTCTAAAAGTAAATTAACTAACCTCTTGAATTAATTGTTAATTGATATTTTGAAATACAGGTTATGTAAATCCGATTTGAAAGGGGGTAGCAACTATCCTACAACCAACTTCGATTATGGTGAAATTCGGTTAAGCACTTTTATTAAGTTACCTAACTGACAATGTTTTTTGAACAGTAACAATTCGTATATGTCTTTGTACTATTATGATCACTATTTTGTCGGTATAAATGTGTAGTCTTGATCACATGACAGACTCTAGCTAAAATGTTGATTGCTTAAATATCACTCGATGATTCATTCTCCTCCCCATGTATATATGTACTCAAATCCTATTATTAGCTTTCTCTTTGCCTTGCTATGCCCTTATGCAATTTGACTATAAATTTGCCTATGTAATTGTTTGCATATCCATAATCACCACTCTGCTTAAAATTCGCTTTAAGTGCTCATAGCTTTGGTCTGCGCTATCTGCTAATAAACTGTAGTTGCCGCTTATCATTGCCTTCTGATTCCAAACACCGTTGAAATGTATATAATAACGGTTACAAGGGTGATTGATCAACAAACCAAAGCCACGACAAGCGAACCAGCTGCGTGATATTATCCATTTGTCAAACGATAATGTCAATTAATTACCTCTATGTATAATTATTATTAAGTGATATGTCAGGTAGTAAGTTAACCTGATAATTCATTTTGAACATTGTTGACTGTTCAATGATCTACAAGATCAATATCCTATGATGACCATTTACGTTTTATTTGATGTCAAATAGTTTTTTTCTTTCGAAAATTTTATTATTTTTCTACACAAAACAGATTTTTTCTTACTAGTCAGTTCATTATTCTCATATCCATTTATTGAACATTTAAAGTCAGTAATTCTTGCTTTATGAGCAGTTTTCGTTCGGTTAAACTACTTCTTGTTAACTTATTTAAATGATTGCATAATCTATAAAGGAAAGCACCCAACTGCGTCACAAGACAAACCCTCACATGGAATCCCGAAGGCCAAAGGAGGAGAGGAAGACCAAAGAACATATTACGCCGGGAAATGGAGATAGACATGATAAAAATGAACAAGAATTGGATAGAACTGGAAAGGAAGGCCCAGAACAGAGTAGGTTGAAGAATGCTGGTCGGCGGCCTATGCTCCATTAGGAGTAACAGGCGTAATTAAGTAAGTAATAATCTATAAACATAATGTACAACAATTCATCCAGTTATAATACAGAATGAATGAAACTAATATTATCTTGTAGATCAAGCCTCTCATCAATGAACAAGGAGGCTCAGATGCAGATGTAAAGGCAAGGATTGGCAAAGCAAGGGTCGCATTCCTACAGTTGAAGAACATATGGAACTCAAAACAACTTTCAACCAATATCAAAGTGAGAATCTTCAATACGAACGTCAAGGCAGTTCTACTGTATGGAGCTGAAACTTGGAGAACTACAACAACCACAATCAAGAAAGTACAAGTATTTATAAATAGCTGCCTACGCAAGATACTCAACATCCACTGGCCGGATACCATCAGCAATAGCCTTCTGTGGGAGAGAACAAGTCAGCTTCCAGCTGAAGAGGAAATTAGGAAAAGACGATGGAATTGGATAGGACATACATTACGCAAATCGTCAAACTGCATCACGAGACAAGCCCTAACTCGAAATCCTGAAGGGAGGCGGAAAACTGGAAGGCCAAAGAACACATTACGTCGGATAATAGAAGCAGATATGAAAAAGATGAATAACAATTGGAGGGAGCTGGTAAGGATTGCCCAGGACAGGGTTGGATGGAGAATGCTGGTGAGCGGCCTATGCTCCTTCACGAGGAGTAACAGGCGTAAGTAAGTAAGTAAGTAAGATCAAGCCTCATCAAAATAATTAAATTATTAATCTTTATAAGATTATAATTATTATTCCCATGATGTTTTAATTCTAATTTATTTTTTTTATTGTTTTATAATCTTTTAACTCAATTTATTAATGTCATATCATTATGAGCCAATCAAATTAATTGGAATTTTAAAATTCAACTCAAACTTATCTACCAATCATAATTATACAAGTGAAGAATGAACATTCCAAGTTTTTTTGCCCCTATCTATCTATCTATCTATCTATTTATCTACCTTTAAATCTATAGTATTTAATGGTATTAAGTATTATTTATTATTCATAAATACCCAATTTACATATTAAAATACATTGTTACCGATTAATATCTAATTTTGAAATATCATTTGTAGAATAAAACTTCATTAGTACGGTTTTTTTTAAAGAATGAATCAATTTGTATGTTATTTTATTATTCTTAGTTTATATATAACTTATTATTATTGTTATACAATTGAAATGAACCCATATGGAAATTTTATGTATCCTTCATTATCAACCTCATCATCGTCTGTCTCATCATCAGAATCAGAATCATCTCCAAAACTGTTAGTATCTTCATCAAAATCACTACCTACATCTCAATCTTTAATTGATAAATATCTTAAATTTAATAATAAATTCAATAAAGATCAATTTAATCAATATTCTGATGATCGTTCTAATAATTATTATGATTATTATTATTATAATCATCATCATCATCCACGAATGTCGAAACGTGCTGATTTAAAAGATTTATCAATTCATAGTGATATGGCATTTATACGTAAATTATTCGATCAAAAAAATCATGAATTATTAAGACTTGGATAAGTTTTCAAAAACAAAAAAAATCATAAAAATTTTAATTATTTTAGCTAAATAATGATCATTATTATTATTGATTTCATTCTTGTTTTAATGAACTAACAATTCAAAGATCTATAATTCTATGTTATTAGTAATGTATTTATTAGAAATTTTAACCAATAAAAATGCTAATAAAATTTAAAATAAAACTGGCGGGAATTTTGTAGGTATCATTATCAAGGTTTTGGTTATTTATTCACTGAGGAGATAGTTTACACTAAGTGACGAAACGTCAGAAAATCTCATCTTTCTACTCATTAAGATATTACAAATATATTAATTTATTTATGGCTTAGATTTATTTAAAAATTAATATTCACCTAATATATTTTTTATATTTTAACAAGAGATCATGACAATAGTGTAATAAGTAGTATAGTCAATAGTAAAAAAGAAATATCAAATCTAGTTCGTTTGTTTTATGAGATGTGAATATTTTTTTGGATTTCGACTTTTAGAAAGTTGAAATTCTGTACTGTTTAAATGTCTTAAACTAGTAAAAGAACTATCAACTGCCTCCTTATTATCATTAATAATGAATTTTTGTAAATAATAAACTGTGAATAATGAGGTTAGAGTTATGGGGATATTGAGTGTAGCCCACACAGACAGGTTGTATAGAGAATATAGATATAGTCAAAGTTACGACTGGAAAATGAAAACTCTCCTCTAAGCACCAATTATTCATTGAATGAACGGAAAAGTGACCAAATTGCTAGGTATGATATGTACCAAACATGAAAATAATGTGATTAAATTTAATCGAGTAATTATATATTAACGGCTAATTATTACATACACAAAGAATTTTTTTAACTGTAGAAAGTGAATATCACTTTGACAGTTGAATGGTTAGTTGATAAAGAGAAAATTTGTTACACTGCCAATAGTAATTTCTTGTCTATTTTTCTGTTTCTAACTTTAATTAAGATTGTAGTGGATTATCATCAAGATAATTCCTCATGCTTAACATGTTAATTGTCCTGACAACCGTTATTAAACCAATCTCAACGATATATAAATTTCAGAAGATAATAAGAAGCGTCAACTACAGTTTATTATTAAACAGCACAGGTTACAAAGTCACAAACACACAAAACGAATTCGAACAGAAATGATAATGATATCGAACAAATGTAGAGGGGAATTAAGACACGAACGAGTTAACAAGACTCAATCTCACACGTATGAGAAAGCGAAGATTCATTGAACAATGTAAGCAACTAATATTTGAGCTAGTAAGAGGGTATATGTGTTTAAGTCGTAACACATGGCCAACCATACAAACACGATACCAATAATAATATAATGATATACAAATTGTCACTGTTTAACGCTGCTTGCTAAGTTAGTTGAAGGGCTTGACAGGATTAAACATAAACAAACTTAAGTGTAGGTGAGGTGCTATAATACTATGTACTATATAGTAAAAAGCTTCAATAACATATCGAAGCAAGATTCTTTTTGTATGTAAGTGTGAATATTATTATTTTCGCCACCTTAGTCGTAGCAAGAAATTGAGTTTCAACTTGTTATCCATTACTGATATAATCATAATTATTACCATGTTACGTATTGCACTTAGCATTTTGCTTATACAACAAATTTGAACAGTTTAAATAAATGATAATTTGATCTCTATTTTGATAAAATCATATCGTCCTAATTACATCAGTGAATATTTGTCTGAAACGAACATAAAAATGATAACAATTTACCGCTTCATGTTATAAGTAAACGGAAACAATGTATAGCCTTAATTATTACAGTACTTACCAATAATTATCAACAAAAAGAACTCAATGACAATCTAAATGCAAAATATCTCACGATTAATCCTATTTTAAGTTCTAATGACTTTGAAGATTAACATAGTTATTAAAATGGATTTATACCGCTTAAGTACAATGACTTTCATTGCTACTAAGCAAAAGGTGGAAATTTAACTTAAATCTAACTTTTTGCAGAGACTACAATACTTGTAATTCTGGCAAATCTTATTATTTAGTAGTTGAATACACCAGTCAATTGAATCTAGACAATCATGGAAAACCTGGAAGCACTGGACGGCCGTATCGTCCCAGTGTGGAACTCCTCAGCAGCGTGCATCCACGATCCCTCCTGTCTGGCTTCAATTGAATCATGAATTCAACTACTATATTACTATAGTATCCACAAAACGTTTCTTTGATTAAAATATTATTATTTGAAGTCGTCAAGATCTGACCAATTGTTTTCTGTAACTTGAATGCCTATTCAGCCATCACATAATAATTATTTAATCTAATTGCATTTCTGAAACTTAAATGAATTAGGATTAGTAAGGGAATAGTCACTTTCCAATTAATAATTCTTTTAACTTGTCAGAGTTTTATATCAATCTAATATTAACTTTTTTTAATCATTTTACTTTACGAAAAAGTTTCCATACCAATTTTTATCATAAACCTATTCATCTTTTCGACTATTAACTCAGTTCAATGCCAATATTAAAATAACGTTTACTTAATTTTTCATGTTGTATAAATACCCTTGAAGAATCTTACTATCAGTATGACTATCATAGAATCGGTATTGACTGGACGCACATGAAAATTTGTTCTCCTCAAGATGTACTGTGTAAATGTTATGATTAATAAACTATTTATCTCAATGACCTTAATAATAAAGTATAATTTTTCTAATAGTTGAATTCATGAGTCAATTGAAGCCAGAACACCATAGAAAACCTGGAAGCATTGGATGGCCGATTCGTTCTAGGATGGAACTCCTCAGCAGTGTGCATTCACGACCACACCTCGTGAGATTCCAACCCAGGATCTATCAGTTTCGCATACGACCGCCTAACCACTAAACCACTGAACCGGTCGGCATCCAATGATGTTAATGTCTAACTTCAACCAATCCACGAAGTTGACCCACCTTCCACCATTATCTTTAGTGAGTTATTATCTCACGACATATCTGGTTGAACTCGACTGATCACTAGAACTCCAGGAAATATGTCTTGGATACCGAGACTAGTGAGTATATGACGATTATAGTCAGAGAGGGGTTTAACAGTCAAAGAGTTAGTATTTACAATTTGTTAATGATTGACTGAACATAAAAATAAGCGTTCATATTCTAATGGTAAACAAGACTATTGACCTAGACAAAGTTATTTTATTTATTAATCATGAGATTATATTCAAATAAACCATCAAAATATGTTTAAAATTTTTTTAATGTTTTATTAAAACTGATTAAAGGAATTTGGTAAAGTACTCGATATTCATTTGTATAAAGTATTAAATGAAAACAAACAATGTATTCACTAAACGAGTTCTTTTGAGTGAACTCATTCTCAAAGCTATACAAACGTATTTAGATGTGATAAATTAAAGGTCAATGAATAACAATATGTCTATTAGGATTTGATTTGTTGTTTTGTGAAATTTGACTACACTATTTTAAATAAATAAATAAATAGTTGAAGTTAAACATTAATAGCATTGAATGCCTGCTCAGTGGTCTAGTGGTTAAGTGTTCATTCGTGAGACCCATAGGTCCTGGATTAGAGTCCCGCGGACAGGATGGTGGATGTGCACTGCTGAGGAGTACCATACTAGAACGAAACAGCTGTTCAGTGTTTTCAGGTTTGAAATGGTGATCTAGCTTACATTAACTCATGAATTCAATTATTAAAATTATTACAATCTCCACAAACCCTATTTTGATCACAAGTCATTTTTGACGACCTTTAATAATTAAAAGATAAAATTTCTCTGGTTTATTGTTTTGGACAATATTACAGAGTATAAAATTTTATCTTCCGTTTTAATAAAACCTTCAAGGGTAATCAAAATTAAATGTAGAATAATGAATAAGATCATGCAACACCAATTATATTTTAATATTGTGATAGAAACTCAAAATTAACATGTTAATATATAGTGTATAGCATAATGATACTATTCGATGTCAAATATGAATAATTAATTAACATATAATTGTGGATTTATCCTTCTACTTTTGTTAGCCATTATCCATAAAATTTGAAGTGACTTGATGTTAATAACGAAATAAAGAATCAGTGACAAACAATGAAATTGACTTCTTAAAATATTATCTTGCTTAATTCTTAATCTGTAAAGAACTAACATTTAGTTTTGTCTCTGTTTTAGTATGTGAATTATAAAGTTTCGTTTAATGTATAAGTTACTGTCATATTCTTTGCTATTCCGAAGTTATTTATTTACTTATTATTTATTTGAACACATAAATATTGGTACAAATGCGCCACACAAAACAATGAGAATGGGAAGAGAAAAAAAGAACAATAACGACCAGACTAGTGTAAGGTAGTGTAATGATAATAATAATGGGGGAAACAGAAAGATACAACTGGAAGATGCCTTTCAGTTAAGGAAGATACAACCACTTTTTGTGAAGAAAGTAAAAGAAGGTTACAACAGGATCGCCACTGGTTTCTATTCTGAGCCATATCTGATAACATCTCTAGCCACTGTGTAGCACCATCTCTCGGACCCCAACCAGGGAGTCGTGAAGGACCAACATAAGCCAGTCCTTTGCAGCTTTCTTTCATACCACGACACCATGTCATGCACTGACCACCTCTCCGCTTTTTCCAACCAGTCCCAGAGTCGGCAAATAATGCACGACGTGGAATTCTCTGGGACGACATTCGTAGAACATGTCCAAGCCACCGAAGTCGGTGTTTCAAGATGGTGACACCAATTGCATTATCATCTCTGTGCCCGAACACACGATGCCGAACCTCTGCATTACTGACATGGTGTTGCCACTGGATGTCAGCAATCCTTCGGAGACAGCGATGATCGAACACAGAGAGTCGTCTAACGTCCTCAACTCGGAGAGGCCAGGTTTCACAAGCATAGAGCAAAACTGCTCTCACCGACGCGTTGTAGATCCGACCTTTTACAGCCAGACTAACATCACGA